TGATCAGATTATGTCAGAATAGTCATAAAACTTTTATCCAAGACAGTAAAAATTACAGTTGAAAGTTTTATATGCATATTTTAAGAAAAATACGAAGTACTTTTCTCGTACTCAAGTACAATTACAAGTAAATGGGCAAGTATACTTGTTTAACGACAAGTAAAAGTACAAGTACATTTTTTTCAGTACAAGTAAAAGTACAAGTAAATATTTTCAATTACAAGTAAAATACTTTTACTTGCTGTACTTGTACTCGTCCTAGCTCTGATCCATACTTATATTAAGTGAATTACAACGATTGTAATATTCACGAGTATATTCCTAATATCACAATATAGACCAATCTTAACAACATTGTCCTTATTAAGACATGAGCATATAACTCCTCATTACTAATCTTCTAGTTACGTAAAAATTTCTTAAAAAAAAACAATAAGGCAAACTATAAGACCTGTCTATGCTGACGTATTTTCATAATAAAATATGTTACAAACATAATGCCATATTGATAAAGTACCGACCAATTTTTTTTTCAAGTACCAATATAAGTAAAAACAACAAGTACTTTTTTTTAGACAAAACTGTAAAAACAAATGTAAAATATAGTTAATCAGTACATTGCAGTTATACTTTTACTTGAAAAATTTTGCACCATATAAATACAAATCATATCGTGCCAACTAGGACTCTTAGTAGTAGTAGTAGTAGTAGTAGTAGTAGTAGTAGTAGTAGTAAATGTTCATCTGATATTATTTGCCAATAGATTATAAAATTGCAAGAAATATTTTTGTAATTTATGTTGCATCAAAAAGCGAGAGAGAAAGCAAGAATACGTATTATTCATGGAATAAAAAGGCTAGATGGCGCAATATATTGATTCTTTTATTCGTACATTAGAACTTCATTCTAGTCAGTCGTCTGAACAAACGATTGATTTGATTGATTGATTAAATTCATTCGTTCATTCGGTTTGTTTATTTAGTTATTTTTTTATTTAAATTGTTTTACAAAATATAGTTTAAATCGAATTCAGATTAATTTTTAGTCTATGATTGCTCATATCATATTTACATTCATATATTTATTTCTATTTGCAGATTAAAATAGTATTTTTAATTTTCCATTTGGTACAGTTGACAAAAAAGAAATTAATAATGTCAACAACAGTAAATGAAAATATGCGGTTACATGCTCAATATGTTTACAATATTTGTTTGTTTTCAGGATGTGAAATGTAATTTTACCATTGATATTTTACTTGAACATGATTTTCTTCGTGATAGTGGAAAATGTTCAAGTTGTCAACAGCCTCTTGGAATACATCGTTATAAAAATGGTAAGCTATTTTTCAAATGAATGTTAATAAAATTTATATGTATTTCAGACATTGAAAAACAAATTGGTAAATTAAACATGGGTCATCAAAATCAAAATGCTGATATTCAAAAAGAAGATAATGCCAATAATGAACATGAACCATCAGGTATTCAGAAAAGAAGTAAGCCTTAAAGTTTGACATAGTATTGATATTCATTTTCTATTTCTTCTTCTTAGATACATTACTTTCACCACCGAGCTCAATGAATTGGCCAAATATTCTTACTAATTTGCATTCAAATCATTCCGATGATAGTGACAGTATCAAGTCATCTGCATCATTCCAAGCTAGTACTCGTATTCATTCAGGCACAATATCTGAAGATTCACAAACGGTTAAAAAGAATCAAGCTATTGCAAGAAAAAAGAAAAATGAAGTGATCATGCAGGCATCAAGACAACGAATTTTTTTAACCCAAGAATTCCTACGAAAACATTATTGTTCACGCATTGGTAATGTATTTTTTAATTTTCTTTTATATTTTTTAATCATTCTGATGTGTTTGCTTTGAATAGGCTCAAATAACGTCGAAGAATTATACAATCGGATATTATCAATGATCAACAAAGACACTAATCGTGTTTACCATCTAATGAAACATGCTCGACATTCATGTTATGGTCTTATACAAATAATAATGAATGATGATCAATTGATGGATTTATTCAAATTTTTAGATACTTTTGTACCGTGAGTATATAAAAAATAAAATCTAGTATTCAATTTTCTGCTTTACAGTTTTCTATATTTTTTAAATTGGTCCTATAATGAACTAGATCTCGACTTTTTTCCGTGTGTTTCTATATTTTTTTCCAAAAACAAAAAAGAAAAGAAACGACAATTCTTGTGAACTATATCACAATTCTTGAAAAAGTACCATGCACCCAGTTTACATCTTGTCATTATGGCAATTAGAATCAGCTTCAATTATGTTTACCATCTTGTTTAAAATAGTACACAAATGTAAACGACCAAATATATATGCGCAAAATCAATCAGAATAAGTCATAAAGCTCTTTTTTTTATATAGATTTTTCACGACGTTGCTTTTTGTTCTGAATAAGTTCTTTTAATATAGGTATATGTAAAATTATTTACTCTTTCAGCTATCATTTAACTAACTTAAAACTAATTGATTAATTAAGAAACATTTAGTTAATATATTTCGAACGATGTGAGAAACTCACTGTCATTGATATCTTAATACAAAATAGAGCAATCAGTGATCAGAGGCTGTTTGAATCCATACTCACATTCAATGATATATTTTTCAATCGAGATTTCATTTTTTCTGTTTCTCAAAAATTATTTCGATTTTGATTAGGTCAATTTATAAGTTGACTTAATTTTAATTTTAAATGCAATACACATATTTTCATTAAATACTTCGATGAAATTTAGAATATTATAATAAAATTACCAAAAGTACAGTTTATATTGAATAAAACCAAACAAAGCCTTCTATTCGATGTGTTTTCGATTTAGTTTTCTTTATATTCATATAAGCTTCATTGCATAGAATAAGTTTGAAATGAACAAAATCTTAATACTCAATATTATATTATTCTAAGAAAAAAATCTTTCAATCTTTTCCAATACTCTCAAAAAAACGTTTTTCGCTCAGCACATACATATAGAAAGAAACTATATCTAAAATTTCTGATGTTTTTTCAATTTTTGACATGTTTTCAGGACATTTCATAGTGCAAATTAGTTTCCTATCTATATAATGGTGTTATTCAAATCCTATGTATTCCCACGTTTTCATCAAGTACCGCCACGCTGCCAGTAAACTTTATTATAATGACTATGTTTTCATTTTTAGACGTTATTGACTTCATCTTCTGTCCAAAATCAATGGCATGAACATTTGTTTTTGTTTTTTCTTTCATTATTATCCGCTCTAGTCCTATTTTTCTGTTCCGTCAGATATTTTCATACACAACCTGCTATGAAATAAAAGTCATAATATCCCATATGATTTCTGCATACTTTTATTATTTTCTTCAATTAAAAACTAGCTAGAGAAATAGATAGATAAAATAAAAGTTGAATATTGCTTAAATGTGCCCTTCATCGTAGATCAATTTACTTTTAACATATAAAAGAATAATTCATAAAAACATAATTTTCTATTATGATTATTTACAACAATTTTCTCCACAAGATATGATGTGTTGTATTAGCTTCTATGAAACTAATTTTACTCGAAGGACATCAATGATAGATTTGAAATGGACATAAATAAGCATAATGACTATGATGGACATAATTGACCATGAACTATTCCTATGGATCTCTTAGATATCTAAATCTATTTTTCAGAATATACAAAATACATTTCTGAGGAAACACGTCTTTTCACATAGAAAAACAAGGGCGAAATAGCAAGTAATACAAGTGGAGAAAGTATTATATCACAAAAGTTCAATGGTTACTATAAGCTTATTTGTTTTCTTGAAATTCAGTTTGAATTTCTGAGGCGTTAATTAGATCTTTATCAAACGCAAAAGGGAAGCAGTAGAAAATGCACAGATGACTAAAGCCTTATAATACACAACCTTCTTCATAATTCCTATGCACAAAAAAATACTATATGAGCACTTGTTATGTACGATATAAGTTCATCGGGCGAACAGCCATGAGCAAAGCTCCTCTCGATATCTTTTCTTTATCAATATTGACTGAGATGCCTTTAGATCCCTATGCGGCATCAAGAGTCTCTAAGACATTCTCATGTTCTTTGCAGAACACATATGAATAAAAGCGTGGTAGACGAATCCACAATTCTGTATGCTAATAATATTGATGAAATTGGTATGGTATGATGAATTTGCTTTCTCGATCATTCTGTGCATTCGATAAATCCAATATGAACTTCAAAAAACTGGATCGTACTGGAGAAATGGGATTTTGTCCTAGTAAATAAATACTGTTTGTGCGAAATTCTGTTTATTTCGGCATACCATTTGTTGATCTTTCTATACGCCATTCAGTTTTTTTTAGAAGAAACCTATCTAGACTTCCTTGGAAACACCTATGAGACATCATTCATCGTATAATCAACGTGCTCGACACAATAGGTATAAAGAGCATAATCATACCCAGAGTCATATGTTGGATAGCGTTGTTTTACATTAACCTTGAGAGATGTCTTGTTAGTTGTTGCCCCACACCTACATTAACAGAAGTTACCTTTCACGATCGTACTTATCACATTAGATATCGTTGCTAAAAAAGTGTAATGATCGCTGAACAAATTTTCTATATCATGTTCCAATTTGAAGAAATTCATTTGCTTTATGCAAACTAGTCTCGGTTTCCCAAATACAACTTTGTATTTCGAGAAATTGTTTTTCAATTTCTCCAAACTCATTTCCTTGTGGAAGGTCAATGATCTTGCTCGAAACTTATATAAGACATCATATGCCATTATGGTCATTATGATCATTATGCCAATTATTCCCATTATGACCATTAAGGATATGGTTGCATTCTACAGATAGGGAAGCTGTGTGCATCTTTGGAAAAGTGAAATTGCTTTTCAGAGACTAACTTTAATATCCATAAACTACGTTAGCAAGGTGGAAAGTGCAACTCCTACATGCTCCACACCTACAACACCTGCTCAGAACTTTCAGTATCTTCAGCACCTATCTGGCACCTGGAACAAGTTTCAATATGAGCAACTTCAACAGCTTCAGCATCTTTTCAAGAATTTGTGGCATACTTTTATGCTTAGCCACAGCTAACCTATGTACAGCATGTAATCAGCACATTGCACCGGTAGGTGCCGAGAAACACTTAAACCCAATGAGACTTACGATCAAAGTACTCAAGGCACTCAAAGTGCTCATATTGAGATTTGTTCTAGATATTGAATGGGTGTCCATGGTGCGGAAGGTGCATGAGTTGCATTTACCCCCTTGTACTTTGATCTTTCAAAAACTAATGAACTCCATGGAAACTTGCATCAAACATCATATTCTTGACAAGGTATCGATGAATAAAACAAGAAAACAAACACATAGTTAACAATATTAGGATCTAGTATGGAAGAATACAGATTATCGATTAATTCAATCACTCAATATTACTTGTTCATCTTTAATAAAACTTCTCTGGAATTTTTTATTAGAAAATTTATAACCAATTGATTTTTAAATTCAAAATTTTTCTTCAATATAGATTATGATTATATTTCTTACAGAGTTTTCTATTTTTCGGATATTAACGGACATTTGCATAGGATCAACAGAATTACATCATATATAAGATTCAACAACAAAAACAACTAATCAAACAATGCAATTACGTTTCAAAAATAAATCAACGAAATCACATTGGAAAAATTTGTTCGAATGAAAATATTGCTCAAATATATGACCATATTCATCAGAGTCATGTACAAATTAAACATAATCTAAAAATAGAGATAGGATTGTCGTTTAGTTCTTGAATTAGTTTAAAAAGAATTCATATGTCATTTACGATAATTTTTAAATTAAACTGAACCATCATCGTCATTGATTGTTCTCATTATCTTTGCAACTTCTGTTCCTTTCTTACTTTCAATCAATTTTATTCTTAGATGATATATGATAAAATAATGCTAGTTATGGTTTCGACGAATATATATATATACAGTGGTGTGCAAAAAAAATTGCCACTGTCCTTACGCATTTTCTCGAGTCATTTCTCTGAAGAATATGAACGAATTCTTCTGAAACTTTTATATGCAGTCAAGGATGTGCTA